AATTGTTGGAACATTTTAATCTTTGTGGAGGCTCCCCATTTTAGGTTCGTTCGACATTTCTGTTCAGTTTCTAAACAACTCATTTTAAAATGTAAAGGAACAAATTTTTGTCACCTTGGAAACAAAGGTACATTGTTGCCTATGATGAATTGCTTTCCTTCATGGTAAAAGATGTCCCTGGTGGCCTCCCTTTGTATTCAACATTTCTTTGAATGATCATAGAGAAGACTCTTAAACAACTTTGGTGGTCAGTTGATCCTACTTGAGTCAAGAGATTGATTTTTTTTGTGCGTGTGTGAAAATCTTGTCTAGGAAGATTACACCTTACAAGTAGGAACCAGTGTTCTTCTGGTAAAAACAATGAATATTGTCATGATGTGGGCAGAGATAAAAAGGATACTATACAAAGGCATAACTATCTTTCTAAATTTAGTGGCTGTTTCCTGCTTAATTTCTTTTTCCTTTTCAAAATAGTCATAGGTATCAGACAACATTTTGGGCTAATGGCCTGGAAAAATTCATTATAAAATCATTTTGAATTACTTAGGGAGAGTGTAGAGTCTGAAAACTATCGCCTTCTATTCTCCCCTGTGAATCTCTACAATTTTTGTCCAATGTAGACATTTCTCAAATTTGGAGTATTAATGAAAGGGCTTTGAACCTGCTTTCTCTGTGTCACAGTGGAGATCTGAGTAATTGATTTTGGATCAGCTGGTTTCTCATCTCCAAGGAAGGGAAAAGCAATAATAATTGGACAGACTTCTTTTCAATAGTAGTATTAATATTTGGCTAAAAGAATAGTTGAGGTGGTGGTTTAAAATTTGTTAATGGCAACATGGTTGAACTAAAGTGTCATAATAGAAATGTAGCCTGGCATGAATTTAGTTCTCAAAAGAACGTATTTTTTGGCTCCAATTCTATAGCAGGAAATGACTACAGTATATTTTTCTATAGGTTTTATACATTTCAGAAGGGTAGTACTATATTTAACTTAAAACATTAGTTTTTTTTAGAGTGAAAATGTATGTATGTGTGTATGTAACTCTGAGCACACAGTAATGTTTAAAAAAAATCCCAGATCTGAATGGATGTTGGTCATTCAATTTCTGAGCGTCGGATAGGCTTTATAAATAAGGCTGGAGGAACATCCTGATCTGTGATACCAAATGAGGAAGAAGTAGCTCACAAATGGCCACCTGGAAGTCACCAGCTTATCGTGACATTGGGTTGTGTCTGATAAGAGTTCACAAAGGGAAGCCCAGTTTTCTCATCAGCTGTATGTGGATGTGAGCATTTTTCATTCCTGGCCAAAGGTCTGTAGCAGACAGTAGAAGGGTTTATGCACATGGACTGACATGTTGAGAAGGTTGAGAGAGAAATGTTTATAGAGAACCCATCTGGACTGGGTATGAGACACCTATTCTTGTGTGTGTGTTGTGTGTATAACCACATATGTGGGCATATGTATTTGAACATGTGTAACTATTTGGAAGTGTCTTACTACAAATGTTGCTTTATCGATATATATGCACCTGCTGAAAGATTTGAGTTTGCATCCATGAAGAATGCAGTGTGGAGTCAATGGTGTGTTAGAGCTAACTCTTATTGGCTTCCAGGAGCCCACTGTTAGATTTTCGAGCTGGTTGTTAAACAGACATTATTAAAAAATAAATTATATAAACTTATAATTAAATAAATTACATTAAAAAACAAAGGTAATAAGTACTCCAAGCTCATTTATTCCTAATTAATTTACCACATTTTACTATTGTCTGTGCTCTTGAGGTTACTTGCGATTATTGTATCTATAGGGTGGAAACACTATAGAATGTTGCCATCTCTTCTCAACTCTGCATTTAGCGGCATCCATTTGGTAACTTGGAATCTGGTAAACAGAGACCTAGGAGACCTAGACCTTTTTTTGAGGCTTTTGGTATATTTTTAAAAAATCATGAAAGGCCAAAATAGGTTAAACAATCATCATATATTTTAAATATTTATAAGGAAAAAATGTAGATTTTTAAATATATAATATAACGTATTTATGATTCTAATATTCACAAGATAATTTTAAATTTTAGAAAACATGTTAATTTATAGTTATGAAAAGATGTGTCCTCCCAGACTTTAACCTGAGAAAAGGTTAAGTTTCAATGGCCTTTGCTTCTGTGATGGTGTCACCTCAATTAGAGATAAAAACGAAAGTCTAAATTGAGGCCCTTTGTGAATTCAAGGCTGGGTCAGTTGGTACTTCCAGTCACTGCCATGAGAGGTCTTGCCTCATAGTATCGGATTCTTTCCTTGTAAAATGACTGTAATAATACTAATACTAATAATGATGATAGTCACTGTATAGAATTGCAATGAATACCCAGTAAGATCACACGTGGAAATCATGACTGTCCTGCCATCTATAAATGGCGGCTATAAGAAATCACTGTCTACTGTGCAGTTACCCAGGGAAAATAAAAAAAAAATAAAAAATAAAAATAAAAAAAAAAAAGAAATCACTGTCATTATCATCATGGTTTTATTGAATACTTACTATGTATTAAGCCCCATTCTAAGAACTTTGAAGGCTTGAACAACTCCCTGAGACAGGAAGAGTATTTAACAGATGAGAAAACACAAATAGCAATTTAGTCACTTGCTTGAAGTAAATCATATAGCTAGTCTGTGGGAAGTTCGAATCTGAACCCAGATCTGACTCCAAAGTCCATGCTCAGATATTTCAATATTTGCTACTTATACCTCCAGTATCCCTCACAAGGCATATAGTAGGTGTTTAATAAAATGTTTTGATAACATTGTTTATGGTGCTTTTTCATAACATGTTCAGCCTCACTTCTTAACCCCAGGTGGCCAGAAAATTCTAGTTCTCTTGTGAGAAGTTTCAAAGAGAATAAGTACCTACCCACATGTAAAACCAGTATTCAAGAGGAGAAATTTTTAGAGTATTTTGCAATATATTTACTAAATTAAATGTAAAATGATTAACACATATATATCTATCTTTCTATCTATCTATCTATCTATCTATCTATCTATCTATCTATCTATCTATGATTTTCTTTCTAAGGACATTTTTTCCTGGTCTCCATTTGCTCTGTTATTAAGAGAAGTTTTGTTTTAGTGGCTTGTGTTTCTGCGTTTATGAACTTCTCCCAACGAGGCTCTATAATCCAGCACACGGAGACCGTTCCTCACTAATAGGATTTACCTTTACGAATATCTGAAAATCCTTCCAGGAGAAGATTAGATTGTTTAGCTCAATATTTAATCTGTTACTTCCTTTCTAAAGACGCCCCATGGACTTTGTCATGCATTTGGCTGAGACGAGGAGTATCGATCAGTCATAAACCAAAAAATAAGGGAAGGGAATGGCCAGCACAGCCTCTCCCATCCCCACCTTGTAATTAAATTTTGATTTGAGCTGCTTTTGATTAATCTTCTTATTTGTGAGTCTGTGCATTCAAGGGGCCTGCTAAGTTTCTAAAGTAGCTGGGCATTGGTCTCTGGTGGATGGCTTCGCTAAAGAACAGTATGATTGCGTTTTTATGGTTTTCAGATATTTAATAGCTTCTTCCTGTCATTTTCTGAATGACTGAATACGGTTCAGCCCTCTGGGAGCAGTGCAGCGACGGAGAACTGGGAAGATGACTGAGGTCTGTGTACTTGACTGATTGCCTTAGTCTTAATTGTTCTCTTAATTAGCTGCAGTAGCAACGGCATCTGGGGAGAGATCACGGTATTGGTAAACAGCTCCACCTTGGAGCGCAGGGTAATGCCTTTTGGAATCCTGACAGTGAGCAGCTCCCGTGCTCGTCTCTCCTCTGAGACGGGACCTGCCAAATCTGCAGCCCCCAAGGCCCATGCGCCCCTCCTGCTATCTGTCACTCAGGCCCCTGAGAAGCGGGCTTCCAACTGTTCGTCCTTAAACAAATTAAGTTTTAATATGCAAAAAGCTGGCTTTATTGGGCTGGATGGACGAACATAAAACAAAAGGAAGGGCTCACAGCTCGGGAGCAGGCTTGGCAGGAGGAGGCCCAGGAACAGGGCTGCAGCCCCGGGAAGGGCGGCTCCTCCTGGGCCGTTAGCGTGCTGTGCAGGAAGGAGTCACAGTCACGGATGAGCTCAGCTCAGTTTGTCTCTGAGGTGTGGTGTGGGCCCCGAAACCTGGCTCGCCTGTTCTTATTTTGGGATTTCGCCTTCTCCTTTGTATTTCTCCACTGAGGTGTGGCATTGAGATGTGAAACTTCCTCCCTCCCCCCTTCCCACCCCCAAAAGGAGACAGTTCACCTAGTCTGAGGCTGTTTGGAACCTGAAGAGTGAAAAACTCAACTTGTTTCTTTTTATAAATGACAGCACATTATTGTCATGGTGACCCAACTGAGGTATTTTAAGGCTGGTAGAACCAGTTCAGACTCACATTTATGTACAGAATGGAAAGGAAAACAGGTGCTTAGGTGGCAAATTACAAGGTCAGCACTTAATAAACATTTCAAAAAACTACATAAAGTGGTGAGAAATTGGCATGAAGATGTAATGGGATGTTGAAGATGAGATGAATCAATTTTTGGTATTTTGCAAGAAAATAATAGACACCCCTTGGTGTAGGACTCGAGAACAAAGGATGAACCTGTGAGAGCTCAGGCAAGTCGTTTACTTTCTCTAAGTCAGATTCCCCTTTGATAAAAACAGGAAGGTCCACCTGCTCCACACACTTACCATGCAGATTAAATATGATAGTAATGATCTTGCTTTGAAAGGAAAAGGCATTATTCAAAATGAGCTTTAGGTAATTGTGATTATCTACATTTTATAGTCCAATTGGTAAAACCCTCATGGGCACAGATGTATTTTCATCACCTTAAAAACAAAAACGCAGTCTCAGATATGGTGGCACTGTACACAGTTGTATGGTGGGTCATCTCTTCTTCCATTGCTTTTCCAGAAAATTAGCTTACTCTTAATTTAACGTGCCTGTTTCTTCCCTACAGGGCAAACCCCACCAAAAGAACAACTCCAGTATTGTGAGAGTTGCCTCTGAACCTGAACTAGCAGAATGTTCACAGAAAAGCAATGCCTGGAAATTAAAATGAGTTAAACTATGAGATCATGGTTTGAAGACATGTCATACTATTTTCAAGACAAGGTTAAAAACCAAAGTACTAACCATTTGTGGCCATTAAAATGGCAGGGCTTCCTCTTGTCAAAAATGTAATCATGTAAGTAAACCCTGTATCAAATCAATGTAAGTAAACCCTCATAGTAAGCCAATATTATAATATCTGCATCCTAGTCACAAAATTATCCCTCTCCCCAGAATGTCAGCCCTACAGTAAAATGTTTTATGTCCAGCTTTTGCCTTGCTATGGTGAGCTGCTTTTCATGACACAGAGAGTGCTACCTATTTTAACTATTTTTATATACAGTCACAGACAGCAAAATCTCTCTTGTACTTTCCTTGGGCCAAAAGGAATGTCAAACAAATTTTGGCATTAGGAACATTGATTAGTTGACACATAGTCATAATTGATATGAATAAAACATCAATATCAATGAAGCCCATTAGAAGCACCAGGACAATTGTTGTCCAGTTTTTCCCTAACAGAGGCAACTTACAATACCTTCCCACCAGCGACTGCTATTATAGCTCTGTGTTTGGTACCAGCTTGAACATGAGCCCTAGGGTGCATTTCTTATTACCAACACACTGTCCTATCTATCATGTGCTACCGAGGGGTATAGTCTGGCTGTCCTGGTTCCATTCCCAATACCCCTTTCCCTGCTCTTCTCTAGTCTAGAGGCTACAAAAGTAAATACTAAAGTCCCATCTTTTCTTTAAACAAAGGGTGGCCACCCATGTGTCATACTTCTAGCCAATAAGAAATAAGTAGAAATCTTTTATTAGCTAGGTTAAAGGTGCTCCTGGGAACACTTTTGCTTTTCTGATAAAAAGGGGGAAATTGTGGTTGACCCATCCTTCAACCCTTTTCCTATTCTTCCTCCACAGATGCAAATGTGATGCCTGGTGAGCACTGGCCATCTGGTGGATATGAGATGACCAGCCAATAGGCTGGAATGGCGAGGGGAAGAGCCAGGACCCATGAAAATGGTGGGGGGGGGCTGCAAGAGAACCAGTGGCAGCAACCCCCTATCTGCACTCCTGTTATATGACAATAATAAATTGCTATTTGAGTAGTCAGCTGAGTTGGGTTACCGACAGCTGCAGGCATTTCTAGCTGACAAGTCTGGAGAATATGCAGAACACCAGATAAGTGGCCTCATAGAAATCCCTGCCTCAACAGAAACTCCTTTCCCCTCTAGAGAAGCCTTGTGTTCAGTGATGAAGGGCTTGGCTAACTATAGCCCACAGGCCAAGTCCAGCACTCTGGACTTGCAATAAAGTTTAAAAATAAAGTTTTATTGGCACATGACCACTCTCAATTGTTTACATAGTATCTATGGCTGCTTTTGCCCTACAACAGCAGAGTTGAGAAGTTGCCACAGAAGTTGTGAGAAACCGTGCAATCTGTCTAAATGACCTGTCCAAAGACATCCAAACTCTGGTGGTAAGTCAAGCAGTTTCCTCTGGCCTTTTATAAACAGCGAAACACTTTGGCATAATCTCTTAAGGCATGCCTCTGTTGCAGCGAGGAAGATCTGGCAGGGTGTGCATAAAAATTAGGCTTTTGGTTTTCCCCAGAGAGAAGGATGCGACCTGTCTGGAGGGCTTGTGCGTGCAGGCGTGGGGATGCACACCCTCAGAGCCAGGAACTGGCAGGCCTGTCCCCAGCCAGCCTTCTCTCCAATGTCAGATTCCTGTAAAATGATTCCAACTGGATACTTGTGTCTGATCTCCTCTAAGCAGATACCAGCTCTACTCACTTGAAAAGATGTATTGTGGTGCTAGGGGAAGCTGTTCTGAAAACTTTTGGTCTTGCACAGCACTACAAGGCTGCTTCTGTTAGTGTGTTATTAGAATATTTGGGTTGTCAGCTGTTTGCCTATCCTCGAATCCAATTTTTGGGGGACATCTGGTAAAGAAAGAGAAAATCTCTCAAAACAACTGATAATTCCAAAAATCATGTATACATGAAAACAGATAAAAACAGAGTCAGTGCAATTCTTACCAATTTTCCCTTTCTTTCACCTCTCCCTACCCTGGGCCTTAGATCCTCATCTGTCTGTAGTGTTGGAAAAAAATATTCATTCTCAGTTTACTTTTATTTTAGCGCAGGCAGCAACCAATGCATTGCTCTCTCTCTCTCTGTTCCCACAAGTTCATCTATATGCTCCTGTTTTGATAAGAGAAACAAAAAAGGAAAAAGTTCTGATAGCTTTTGATGTGTCTTCCACTTATTTTGCTCTTTTCTTCCTCTTCTGTTATGGAGGGGAAAGTAGAAAGCTAATAAAAGTAAAAAAATTAGTCTAGGAGAAAGGACAATGATAGGAATCCAAAGATGAATTTGATCCAGATAGTGTTGGGAGTTAATCTATTTAGAGTCTCAATCTATTAGTGGTTTTGGTTTTTGCTTCAGAGGAGCAAAAGAAAAATCCTAAGCTCCCACAGAACATCTGGAAAATGAAACTTCTGCCTGTCACAATAAAACTAGCTAGAGAAGTAAGCAAGCCTCTACACTCTGGAAAATACTTAGCCAAGTAAGACCTTTGGTCATTCCTGGCCTCTGAAAAGAAAAAGATCAGATAATGTGAATGTTGCCCTATGGCTTGGAATATAAATAAAATCAGGGAAAAATCAGTCTCTCAAATTCAGGCATCTGGATTCAAGTTTGGTGCATTACTTCCTGACATCCACTGGCATGTTGTATACTCATCCTGAAAACCAGTGCCCTGAGATATGAACTAGACATTTACAATGTGCTTCCTGTAGAGGAAGGGAGTATTGTTACGATACACCTATAGGTCATTAAATATGCAATGTCCAATTTCAAATCAAAAGTGTAGTTTATTATATCTCAAACAGGAAGCAGTACAATTAATCAAAATGTGTGCCTAAACTATCAACACGGTTTTGTCATCTTAATGGTAGCTTGTTTATGCCTGCAGTGAAGAAGCCTGGAGAGTGAGTGATGATGATATCACAAAAGGCGTTTTCCACAGCTTGTTGAGAGTTGAATATTTTTTCTTGCAAGAAGTGGTCCAAAGCCTGGAAGAAGTGATAGTCAGTTGGTGCAAGGAGTGCTGAACATGGCGGATGACAGAGAGTTTCCAAGTCCAGCCCCTGTAGCGTGAGCAGGGCTGTTTGTGCCACAGGTGGTTGAGCGTCATCTTGCAAGAGGATTGGCCTGTCTCTATTGACCAATCTCATGTGCTTAATTGCAAGCATCCTCATCATTTCATTCCATTGGTTATAGTAGATATCTGCTGTAATTGATTGACCAGGTTTCATGAAGCTATGGTGGATGAGACCAGCACCCGGGGCACAAAACAGATATCATTAACTTTTTTTGATGAATATTCAGTTTGGACTCTGTTTCTGCACTTCATCTTTATCTGGCCATTGTGTCCAATGCTTGTAATTGTCAAAAAGAATCCATTTATCATCACATGTAATAATACAGTATAGAAATGGCACTCCTTTATGTCGTGACAGCAAAGAAAGGTAAGCTTTGAGACAATTTCTCTTCTGATGCTTGTTGAATTCATGTGGTACGCATCCATGCAGCTCCTTTATATCTTGCCCATTTGTTTCAAATGGTCCAATATTTTTGGAATAGTAATGTCAAACCCTGCTGCTAATTCATGCATAGGTTGAGATGGATTTGCTTCCACTATAGTTCATCGTTATCCACTGTGGCCTAAGGTTGCCCATGTGGTTCATGTTCAAGATTAAAATCCCCAGAACGGAACTTCTCAAGCCACCAACATACTGTGCATTCATTAGCCACTTTCTTCCTAAATATGTGGTTGATATTTCAAGCTGTCTGCGCTGCATTGGTTTCACAACGGAACTCATATTCGAAGACAACATGAATTTTTGACTTAGTCATGGTTTCACAAAAATTGCTCTAAAAAGTAATTTGGAAGATAATCACAAGCTATTCTTTTATCATGTGTTTGAAAGAATGAGGATGTACCATTACAATAAGCATAAAACAAGAAGTGTCAAAGTGAAATATCAGAGATATCAACTGTCAAACTCAGTACTTAAGGAAATCAGGCATTTCATACTTAATAACCAGTAACTCAAATCTATAGCAACGGCAGTAAGCTTGGAAAGCCCTGTGAAAGGACACAAGGAGAAGGTGCTTTGGAGTCTACCTGGCAGGTATAATACTGCACATGGGTTGAGTTCTCTGCCTGAACAAAGGTGTCTTCAGGTCAGAAGTGGAGAACATCCTGTCTCTACGCATTTATACTTCATATCATACCCCTACTCCCAATACCTCCTCACCTTTCCAGGGGCTAAAGATGGCCACATGACCACCCATCATTTACACATGAGAAAAGAGAGACTCAGAGAGGGCAAGACAACAGCTACGGAGAGCAGAGCTGGGAGACTTGAACCTCAGTCTTCTGATGCTAATCCTTCCTCTCTTTCTGCTACATAAACTGCTTCTGCTGAGGGAAAAATTAAAGATTGGTGTAGATTATGGGAGCTTAAACTGCAAAGAAAGCATATAGGCTCACACTCAAATACCAGTTGAAGTTTGTAAATAGTTTGTTAGGTTAATCTTGACCCTCTAGTTTACAAGTTTGTAAAGCTTTGAATGGGAAGGGTAGGTGGGAGCCCAGGGCATTTGGATCAAAGCTGTTGCAATTCCTTGGCTCAGACATTGTTGGATTTCCTGGCTCAGCCACACAGAATGTGGCCTTTACATCACATGCCTTTCAGCATATCAGCATTTCCTATGGGGTAGAAAAAGCGGAGTTTTCTTAAAGGGGCTACTTGAAAAGCCCAGAATTATCCTAACTGGTGCTTCAGCAAAGCAGTTTCCAAGCTATAGATATCATTGGCATTTTTAAAAATTTCTTCTGCCAATTTTTTCCTGATATTATTGTATCTGCAGTGTTTAAAGGAATTATGCATCAGCTTTTCTTAATTTCTTCTTTAGTAAAATGTTTTATATAGTACGCATTTCCCCTTTAAGAAGATCTTAACCTTTGTATTTAAATTACATCTATTCTACAGACTAAATGATTCAAGTTTAGAAATTCTTAAGTACCTAATACTTAGGATCCTATTTCATAGAAAGCTCTTTCAGAAAAGAAAGTATAAACATCACCATATTAATGGTTTGGGTGCAACGAATTTCCAAAGACTGAAAATTGAAGACTCACATTGTGGGGAAGAGATGGTTTGTGGAGAGAAACCAGCTGGCACTGGAGAGAAAGTGTGCGTGGTCACAATGGTGCAAGAAGGTCCCTGAGGGGAACAATAGGGCAAATACACAGGTGGCCCCAGGAAGCATGGAACAGTCATTCTCCTGCCATTCAAACACCAGGGGTTTCAAGGTTCTACAAGAACCACCACTCTTGTAGTCACCAGCTTTCTGAAAACATGATTATGCTGCCTTTTGAACACTTAAATCATGGAAATTTGTTGACCTCTGAAGCCCTGAGAGGCCCTGGGGCTGTTGTAGGCATTCCGGGCACTTGGCTTTCTGGACAGGGCAGCTCTAGTCTTTGCTCCTCTTCTGTATTTTGTTTTTTTTTTCTTCTCCTCTCTGTAGTGTTGGTTAGGAGGGTTGGGAGGAAACAAAGCCCAGTGGCAATGTTTGCCCTTCTAGGAAGTGCAGAATATGGTGAAGGATTCATTTCCTAACGAACGCTCACATTTGTCATCTCTCCTCTCTTCCCATTTGGAGTACACCTTACCCAACAGCAGTGCAGACTGAGAGGAGCCCCCAGCCTCAATGGGACCCATGGCCTTTCCTTACTCCTGGAATTCACGCTCTCTTTTGGGTGTGCTTTGTTCATTTCATAATTGGACTTTTAATTCAGCAATAGTTCTGGCCAATGGCTATTAATTATCACTTTGCTCTCCTCTTCCCATAGCAATTATTAATTAAACTGCCCAGAGTGTCATAATGAGAAATTAAAAGCTGTGATAATATTTTAGGAAGCAGGGTCCCATGGTCCTGCAGGTCTGCATGCCGTTCCTGAGGCAAAGCAGGGTTCATTTGTTTAATTCACAAACATCTACAGAGTCTCTCTAGGTAGAAGTCTCCATTCCCAGCCCTGGGCACATGCAGCTGAGGAATCCTGCTCGAGAGAAGAGCTGAAGATCATGGCGGGGACTGATTTTTGAATCCAACCCCTAATTCCTGTTGATTCTCCTTTCTCAACCTGTGCCACTCCGTGGAGGATGAGGTCTTAGTGTCCCTTTCCTTTTTCATCACTCCCTTCTCACCCAGCCTCAAGAGGCACGAAGGCTAATTGCTCCTCTTCCCAGTTCCTGCGGTAAACTCGTATAGATCTCTGCTATAGAACTAATGTTTTGTCATCATTAAAAAAAAAAAAAAGAAACAAACAAACAAACAAAAACCTCTGCTGCTTCTCCCAACCTCAGTGAATTTTGTTGAGGAGAACAAATCTAGGA